CACGCCACCACACGCCACCACACGTCACCACACGCCACCACACGCCACCACACGCCACCACAAAAAAGGGGGTCGAACGGCCTGTATATTACTACTTACACCTCATGCATGTATATAGTTCTGTTTTCCAGATCCGAGTACTGGAATGACATATATTCTTTATTATATTAGATGCATAGTTACTACAAGACTAAATAAAACATAGTTGAAAAAAACGATTCCTCGATCGTGGGCTATATATATTATTATATCATTTGCACATAGACGGTTTCCATTCATTAACATGCAGAAAAATATTCGAAAATAAACTGCTCATCCAGACGAGAGAGATAAACGCCGAATTACCTCCCATATATAGGCTCTATTACGACGGCAAACGAATTAAGATAAATAACCGGCCGGCGGAATCCTTAACATTATTATTGGAAAATTCTTATTTTATCCCTATATTATTAATAATACAATTGAAACAGTCGTCTTGTAGGTAAAATTAAAGTTCGGTGATCGGAAAAAGTCGTTTCAGCACAGGAAAACCGGACGCCACAGGCTGGTCTTGCTTACGTTTCCTTATTATTGACAAATAAGATCACATTTCACGGTTCAATATTTAACTTTTGCATGACGAGGATGAAGTCCATGCTAACTGTATCAAGGTCATGATTGGCTAAGACTTAGATATAGATTTTGTGTTCCAAATGCTACATCGAAGGTTTAATTGACAGTCATTTTACAATTTACAAGTTGTTTTCTTCAAAAAGTTTGATTATCGTGGCATCTGGTCATGCTGTGTTAGTAACCTGCATCTATATTATAGGTTAAAGACAGTACTTTCCTAAATGTTTCAATCATTCAAATAATTCAAAATTGTCATATACACGCGTACTAAAAACTCTCAAGTTGATGCAATACTGTAAAGAAGACAGGATTGGACAATGTTTTGCTGCCCGCATTGTTCATATAGCTGTCAACAATATTGAGCAATGTTGATCAGATTCAAGCTCAACATTATTGTTCAATATTGTAGACAAGTGTGAACAACGTGGGCAGCAAAACATTGTTCAATCCTGTTGAGCAGCAGGCTCGGCGTTTTTTGCCGAGTATACTATAACTCGTTTCTATGGCTAGTTTCACACTAACGAATTTAATGTTTGTAGAAATTAAAACTACTATGGACTTTTTTAATAAAAAGCATGAAAGATTAAAGTTTTAAGGATGATACTTGTGGTCAATCGTGAAACGAAGGCAATAAGAATGAATTAATGCGCGACCGTACCTGATTTTTTCATAAGCCGCGCTTCCCTAAGTAGGCTAAGTAATTTAGTAAGTATATAAATAGAGTTTCAAGAGGAAACTTGCTCGAGTATTGACACATTTAGGGTACTTTTAAAACACTTACTTCTAAAACAGAAAAGTTCACCCCACTGCCTAAAATTAAACAGAACACTACTCAAACTTCTAACAGCATGATCCCTGTCCGAACTCACTACTACTGTTCATGCATACTTAATTTTATATTCCAGATCCGAATATTGGAATCCGAAATCACATATAGCCTACGTGTATTCCTGATAATGCGAGATGTAATTATGCAACCAGGCTATTAAATGCATTTCAAAAACTATTCCTCTTAAACTAACTATAGCATATTATAACTTTTGCACATATATAGACGATTCCAAAATAAGGTGCTCACCCACAGGCTGCTCTGTTTACTGCTCTAGAACATTTGGAACACTGTTCTAGAACGATATGAAATGGAGCGCACACGGTGTTCTGAAACACAATTTTGTTTATTTTTATGCGTGCAACCATGCATATTCATTAGTTATTCGCATGTAAAAATCATATAATAATTTGCTGTTTTTTGTACATCTAAGTATGCGTTTGCAACGATTTTACTTGTTAATTTTGCCCAGCCCTGGCGTTTAAATAGCATATAATAAGTATATGTCGATATATAACAGTTAACCCATCAAAATAACATATTATATATGCGGTGTGCAGAGTGCATTGTATATACACAAAATCTGTCACTTCCATTTCCAATCACGTGAAAATGGGCAGTATCACGTGTCTGTTCAGGCTGCCCTATTCGAAAATCGGGTTAGTCAGAACCACTGAGCTCTACTATATATATCTGGAGATCGTGCTCCCATATCTCGTCAAACAAAAAAGTGTCCGCAAAAACATGGCGGATTTCGAGCTCCGCGTCCACTATTTTCGGACGATTTACCACTGACCACATAATATTTTTGAAAGCCACCTGTTTTCGCACCCCGCCCTGGATGCAAAAAGTGTACACTGTGTAATTATTAAACTATCAAGTTTCACAACTTTATATTTTGTCAACATGCCGCGTTAATATTGCTCGGTTTATGGTTGTCACAACTCCTTTGACAAAGACATTCACACTGGTAAGGAAATATTATTTTGTGCTTAGATATCATTCCAGAAGTTTTTTCTGCAAATGACAATGTATAAAAGCAAATTAGTTTATGTTTTGTTCACGTGCATGTGTCACCAGCTTTTCTCGACTATGGCTTCTTTTCTGAGGTTTTTGCATGCAGTTTGTTTCATTCAAATATTATATTTCCATTGTTCCTTGTGATGTTCTCGTGTGCGTTTTTCCTACCTACTGTACAGTGTATTTTATAGGCCTGTTTGTATTTATGAAAGCATATTGTTATTGAATTTTTTCCCTTCACATATTTAAGCATTCCTGATGCAAAGAAGCATCCAGAATTGTACAGCATATGGGTTGAGTATATGAATAAACATGCTCCAGTGAAGTCTGTTCCTGCAAAAAGTAGTCGTTTGTGTTCAGATCACTTTAGTGCTGATATGTATGAGATAAAGGGCAAAATCCAGAAATTAGTATTGAGACCGGATGCTAATACCAACAATAGCCTCAGGTCATTGGTGCGATTTAAAGTGTTAAAGTGTTATATGTAACAGTGTGCATGATTTACATTCTTTGCTAGGCGACAAGTCATTATTAATGCCGGGTAGGGGGCTGGAGGAAATTTTTATGAATAGCAAAAATTTTTCATGACCCCTTATTTTTCTAACAAACTATTTTATCCCCCCCCTTATTCAGGCAACATATTTCATAGCCCCCCCCTCCACCCCAATTCTGAATTCAATTACTATAAGTCAGTTTGGTAACCATTTTTCCTGCCCTCATACTCAGTTTACTTGCAGATGTAAAGAATATTGTAAATATTGAAAATAAAGAATATTGTAAATATTGAAAATGATAGCCAAGTAGATAATTCAGACTTTATACCTGAAAAGTTGTTGGTCCTCAAACAAAAACCCACACATCAGACCTAATTTTACTGACTGAAAAAAATACATTTGTGTCTGGTGGAAGCATTACTGTATATTGAAGAGATGGCAGAAGAGACTGTCAACAACATGCAGAAACAGAACATGCGAAAGAGGTCCACTGTGTTAAAAGCAGGACAACAACTGTCAATTGAATCTTGCATTTGCAAATGCAGTGCATGACCCTTTAGACAAATTCTTTGGTGATGATGAGGATGACAATTTCTATATACAGTGCCTAGAACACAACTTTTAGGTTCAATATATTGGGCATTACTGTTCAATGTATGTATACTGTATATATCCATCACTCTTTTGATATTGCATGTTACAAACTATTCCATAGATTTTATTTTTTGCCCCCCCTTTATGTTCAAAATATTTTCTGCCCCCCCCCCACTGGTCAAAAAAATTTTTTTTGTGGCCCCTCTATATTAAAATTTATTGTTACATTTACTAGGAATGGTATGCTGGATGTGTTTTAAAAGAGGGCATACAAAAATTGTGTGCCCAAATAGAGCAAAAACCCACTCAGACAGTTGTTCAAGAACAACATAATTGGCACAATTGCCATGATATTAAATTCACTAAGTAACTTTGTGTATGTTATAATGTGTGAATGTTGTGTGAGTGTTGTGAGTTAATTTTAATTTATTTATTAGGCCATTAATAAATATTCTTGGTTTGAAAAATATTTTAGGGGGGGGGGGGAAACCCTACTGCTGGTGCCACCACTGGAAATATCAGCTAATTATAGCCAGCATAACCAGCATAGCTTCAATAAAATATATTGAAGTAAATATGACATCAAATACTCTTTTATTAAAAGCGATAGCTATGTGCGTGTTTCACTTGCATAATTTGGGACAACCCGAGAATACCCTTATGGAATTAACAAAGTAAAACATGGGTATGAGACCAAGAATACTTATTGATGGCCTGTAATAGTAATATAATAATATTGTATATATTTTTAAATTAAACTTTTTAAATGTTGAATAAATCTAATTTGTAATGAAAATTAATAATGCACATACAGTAAGAATATGATTAATAAAATAATATATAATTATTGTTTGGTGTGCTAGATCCTTAATTAACTAATCCGTTGCCTGGTCAAACAATATGATTCTATTGCCATGAATTCCCATCGGATATAACAATGATTCCAGTGACAAACGTAGAGCCATATACATTTGGGTATTTATTAGTGCAGATTTACTTTCCCCATAATGTGCACAGAGTACATTGTGAGTAGCCATGATCAACAATGTGCAGTTTCCATAATCTGAAAAATACAAACAGCAGTAAATATTTAGATGATACATGCATAAATTAGTTTTGTTTCAACAAAGCATGGCTGTGTTCACAAATTTATACATTAAACTTATATATATAGTAGAAATGCAAAAGGAACAACATACTTTTTATACAATTTGAAAGAGAATTATGCACATATCAACAGCCTGCCCGGGGGGGTACACCCCCGGGACAACTGGGGGGAAACGAGGGGGAATTTGGTATTTTATCTGTGTGTTCTGCCTGTGAACCCCGGGGAAATTAGGGAGTGGTCATTATTTATGGGGAGGGGGGTGTTGGGAAATGGGAAAAATAAGGATTGAAAACTTTTTTGACCCCCCCCCCTACAGAACTGAAGGCAAACTTTTTGTGCCTCCCCCCTCATAAAAGTAGAAACTTTTCTGACCCCCACCCCCCAGTGTGGATTGAAAAATTAATAGCAATGAAACAGGTGTGCATTGCATGTAAAGTTAGATATTAGGACAATCTGTTTAATGTAGCTCATGATGTTTTACCCTGGTGAATATGATTCAACCATATATGATTAAAAAATATATATTATGTGTTACTACTTTGCAATGCAACATTTGTCCTACCATAACCCTAACCCATGACCCGTCTTCATACAACGATTTGAACACAGGGTTTTTTTAAGAACTTGTCAGGGTGGGCATCTACAAAAAGGGACCAATTACTATATTGAGTGTGGAGAGATGACAGATGGTTGTTGGTGACAAAAAGTTTGGTGTAGTATTGTATGTACTAGTAGGGGGGTCTCCCCCAGAAATTTTTTTTGTATTTTTCCACCCCTAGAACTGAAATGTGAGCATTTTCTGAAACAGATTTTTGGATATACAGCGTTATATTGTGCGTTGATAGACCGAATCTGATCAGTTATTAAAGTGTACTTGCATGGTATGTTTATGTAAATACCAGAACTGGGTCACTCAGGGTTAAACTTAGTGGGCCCGACTCGCATTATCGCGAGGCGCTACCATGGTTGGCGCCGAGCAGGGAAATTTTGAAAATTTTGAGTCTCTAGATCGTTGGAAATAGCATTTTCAGAGTCTTCTTTTTTGCTATTTGTGATTATAGAAATCAGAACTCTAGACATGGTATTTAAGTTCAAAAACTTTTATGACCCCCCTCCCCTTTCTCTGTGTTAAAACTTTTTTGACCCCCCTATTTATAAGGGTAAAACTTTGTCCCCCCCCTCCCATTTCCCCCCCTCCCATAAATAATGACCACTCCCTTACAAACTTCGCAATAATAGGACGATGGGGGGAGGGGAAGTAGGGGACTTTGACGTGACAATTTGAATTTTATAAATGAAGTACATAATTGGTGTGCACGTGAACTCAAAATCGCAGGCTCACACAGAAAAATATCGATCGCCAACTTATTATTTATGATATTTTGTAGTGGTCTTGCTAAAATTTGAATAAATAAATACGGAATACATGAGTGCCATTGTGATACCCCAGTTTGTATAATAATTTTTAATTGTTTGTACATGCTATTTATATTATGAACTACTTTATTGTAAGCCCAGGCGGAGGGCAGTTTGACTTACACATTTCCCGGGGGAGGGAGGGAGAATTAATGCATTAGAATCATGTTTTTGCAAAGTCCCGGGGGTGTACCCCCAGGGCAGGCCATTGATATGTGCATTATATACAAGTAGTAATCGAGTTGAAATATTATATAATAGTAATAAATTATAGTATATTTCAATAAATTAATGTATGGTACAGTACAAGTGTTTCATTAAAATTTTGAAAAATGCCTCACCTGTAGTGCTTTTCAGCTTTTGTTGTTTATTTATTAACATATGGAAACAGAATCACTCAATCACCATAGTCCTCGAAATTTCAAAAGATTGTTTCCCATCATGACAATTATTTCAATTTCTCGTTAATTTAGTAATTTATTGCTCATTTTCTACGGCTCCACACAAAATACTGTAGGTCTGCACCTACCGATACTCCAAAAGCATACATGCGACATGGGCAAAAATACCACCTAACCACCATTCGTTCAGCTCATTTATATTATCTGTTTGGATCATCATTTATACATTTCACAGCAGAAATTGTGGGATAGTCGCTCGAATGAATTAAAGCTCCAGCTTGAACTTGATAGTAGTTGGTAAAGTTCAGAAGAGACCTTTTACACCTATATGTACATAACTAATATTTACTAATTTCAAATCTTCTCCAATGTACTCCTTTTTTAAAAATTATAAAGATCAGTGGCTCTCTGGTCAGGGGGGAGTGGGAAATGTCGCCTGCACGCATTTGAGCTGTGGTCAGTTAACATACCATGAGAATAGTGGACGTGGAGCTCGAAATCCGCCATGTTTTTGCGGACACTTTTTATTTGCGAGCACGATCTCCAGATATATATAGTAGAGCTCAGTG